GTTCCAACCCCCTTGTGTCCCAAGAATGGCCACTTTCCACATTACATACCACCTAATTATGACTGCAAGGCAATTTATGGTTGTTGACTTTATGAGTCACCAAAACACCCTGAAGACTCACATTTAAGAATCAATAAATCTAGATCGGCATCCAGAAGTCACAGAGGAGATTGCGACAACAAAGGCTTCATTGAACTTCTGGAGGGCTTGGTCGAGCCCCGTCTTGTTTTGGGTTCATGGGGTTATCATGTCACAGCGCCGACCAGAGCCCCCTCCCCTAATCTCTCACAGGAAAGCATCTTATCTGAGAAGGTGCCGGTAAAAGAGCGCTACGATGCTTTGGGTGACTACAGGACGTTTTGATAAACAGAGAGAGATGTGCTCTACGGAAAGGAAAGACAAGATAGACATTTCACATATAATGAACTGGTGAAGTGAAACATCATTTATTTATAAAGTATACAATACAACTAAAGACATAAGGGGAGTTATCATGGAAATGTGGCTAAAGCCAAAAAAGCTTTTAAGTGGAACTTGCTTTTAAAAAATCTCGTACAACTTTCTAATAATAAGACATGATTCCCAATGGTTTAAGTCATAGTTAAAAAAATATAAAGATTGAAAAAACTATTTTGGGTTGCCTACGTTTATTCTCCTTCACTAGGACACCTAAATTATCCGTTCAGATAGCTTATAAGTTTTGGTGCACACTCTAAAAGGACCATTCACCTTTAAGGGGGGAAAATTGCAAAATATTCAGGTGAAATTAATTAATGGATTATAACCAATGTATTTATTATGAAAAAAAACTATTAGCTACAACTTTAAACATTATAAAGGGTGCCTTGTTGAAGGTGGTATCAGTTTCTATTACAGCATTGTTACCATGTCATGGATTGATCTAATTTCAGCACAATTATTGATAGTTTAAATTTCCACAAAATTCAGTAACTGTTATGCACATACACTGGCAGGAACGCCCAACTGTTGAATAAAGAAATGGGATTTTTGGAAAACCTGTATGTATTTCTGTCATTTTGTGTCAACGAGCTATTATAAATGTAAGCTACATCTTCATAATTGGCGCTGAAAGCTATAAAAATCATTTTAGGAATGACAAAATCCCTGGCATCTGTCTTCTTCCCCTTCCTGACCCTCTCATTTAGAGTTAACAACTGCTATGACATCATGGCCCTCACATTGACAAATGGCCCCTGGGACCCCCGGTGCAGCTTTTAGGGTTTCCACTGTTTATTTCAACAGAAAAGGAACTCAGCCATGCAAG